CAATTGCATTTACGGTTGAATGCGACCGACACACGGAACCAATCGGTTGTTCCTTACGTATACGCGTGCGTACGATCACAATCTCGAGGAAGCCGAGTTGCCACGTACGTACTCGCCTGCGTAAGTCAGCTTTAACCTCGTGTAAGGATGTCAGGGATGTGACTTGCTAAACAGACATGGCTACCAGATCTCCTTCCTGCGTCCGCTTACGAAGCTCTGAGGGATCCGAAATATCGCGAATATTGGGAAGGAGAACAACTCAGACGGCGGGGAAATTTAAGAAATCCGGAATTCCCTTGCCTGATAGAAAACAATCGCTTATGCGCAAGGGATTTCCACTGTGCCATAACCAGCGACCCCCGGTACCCCGAGTACCCGGAAACATATAACACACAATATTTCATATCCCCCGGCTTCGCCGTTATTACTACCAGCTTCCCACCTTTCCATATCCTTCTCCCGTATCACCAACTCACAGTAATACTGTGGAATTCCATAGCGCGATACTGGCCAAGCCCGTCGTGCGAGGGTTGTCGATATCACCGCACGCACTGAGCTTCGAGAACTACCCGATAGACCTGAACCGAAGCCGAGCGGCGATTGCACAACCTCCACGTACGGCCTGCTTCGGCGGAACTCGAGGCCTGTTACGGGCAACAACGATAGCGGGTCGAATCGCGCGACCAACCCCAAAGTCGAAATCAGCGACTTTGGTGATTTTTTTTTCCTTCTGGCCCTGCACGTTAAACCTGTTGGGAGAGGCAATGTTGTTGGGATTTTGTTCGAGAATGCAAGAGTGTTTAAGTCTATCGGTATGGTGGTAACAACCAGTGCCCCGGATTTTTTACATGGGATGCACTGCGCATGCCATCTACCTTATGTTGCACGACATCAGCTTCCTCCCTTCTGAGTATATCCCCTTTTGCCCCTGTACCCCTAGAACTTGCCACAGGAGATCTCAGTTCCGACCTAGGACTCCACCCCCACTTTCCTAAAATCCTTGGCACACCCCCTTTTTCGCACTTCCGGGCCCCCATCCCACTCCGATCAGGAAGTCGCGCTGGGCGTGAGGTTGGGCGTTACAGTCAATCAATTGCTCAATCAATCAACCAACCACTCAATGCACACACACACACACACACACACACACACACACACACACACACATGGGGTTTGCTTTTTTTTTTTTTTTTCGACAACTGTCTGCGCCCCACGGTGACACGTGCACTTGGGTGGGGGGGCCGAGCTGTATGACACGTGGTGCTATAATGCTATTGAACACATTTGAATGCGTGTGTTTGAACGTGAACGTGCCTTCGACTCGTTCAAACAGCTACATAGCCTACATGCCACGTGGCAGAGAGAGAGAGAGAGAGAGCGAGCGAGCGAGAGAGAGAGAGAGAGA